CCTGTGTACATCCTAAAGAAAGATCAGAACATTAATGCCAAAGAGAAGGTTTTAATCATTGCCTATAATGGAACACCAGTTAGATTGGCAGCAGATTTCTCATCAGCAATAGTAAATGCCAGAAAACAGTTGGATTAATATATTTAGTGTTCTGCGGTAATTTGCTACCTTATAATTCCACCATCATCACTGTTGAGGAGTCAAGTCAAAATTAAGAATTTCCAGAGCAATTTTTAAGAGGCTACCTTTTGAACAGGTGTTACACTAAAGGAAGTAGGGAGTTGAACCCAAAAGGAAGAAACAAGATTAAAAAATGTTTGGTGAGCGAAGAAATTGGTTAAAATGTTGGTAAATAATCATTATCTATAAAATAATAAAGTGATTCACTGACTTTACTCTTAAGACACATCTTTCTTTTATTTACATGGCACTGAGTAAAAACCAACGCTGAGAATTAAACCGTGACACGGTGCTTTAACGATGGCGATAATCAATACATTAAGAAGTTAGTTACAGTGACTTCTCTTAAATTTGAGATTTCTTTAATCCAAGAAATTTGGCAGTTGCCTTCATGTGCATTTATTTGAATGTGATAGGGAATCCTTTTGTACATAGCTTGATCATAAAACATAGCAAAAGTATCATCAGCTTTTGGACAGCTTCCATTAGTAGGAAAAAAATCAATAAATACATAATAGTTAAAACCCAAGAAGTCAAGAAATAACAGTATAACCATATTATTAAGAAATACAGAAAACTAGAAGAGTCAAAAGTAGTGCCCTCTCTAAGAAAAAAGAAAAACCCTCATAGACACAGACAACAGTACGGTGATTGCCAGAGGAAGAGGGGGTGGGGGGGAGGAGGAAGGAAAGACAGGGTGAGTGGTGATGGAAGGGGACTTCACTAGGAGTGGCGAGCACACAATGCAATGTGCAGATGGTCTGCAGTAGAATTGTACACTTGACACCTAATATAATTTTATTAACCAGTGTCACCCCAATAAATTCAATAAAAATATTTTTTTTCTTTGCTATTTAATTTATTCTTCCCTTAGCGAGCTCAAGATAATGATAATTGATTAATATCTTAAATTGTTATATACGTTGCCCTGACTGGTGGCTCAGGGGGCCGGGCACCAATTCCCACTCAATTCCCACTCAAGGCACATGCCTGAGTTGCAGGCCAGGTCCTCAGCTCATCCGGTCAGTAAGGGGAGGCGACCAGTGGATGCTTCTCTCCCTCCTCCTCACCCTCCCCCTCTCTCCTTTTTTTGTTCCAAAGTTCCATCCAGATTATCACTTTACATTTAGTTGTCACATCTTTGTAGGTTCCTCCTGGTTCTGACAGTTTCTCGTGTTTTTCTTGTCTCGATGACCTTCACAGTTTGAGGAGTCTAGTCAGGTATTTTGTAGAATGATCCTCAAGTTTTTCTAATGATTAGACCGGGGGCTCTAAAAATAATATTTTAAAAAAGTAGTTGCTTCATATTGGGGCTGTGAGATTTGTTATATCTTATAAAAAACTCTTTGATTCATTTTAACTCTCTGTTATTAAGTAGGAATAAAATTAACATGAAAGCATTGCTATGTGCTTGTTAAGCTAGAAAAAAATTAAAATTATAAAACCTTATGTTGACTAGAATATTCACTCTGCATTCAGTAGTGACTGTATCTTCCTGGAGGGCAAACTAATAACAGACAGTGTTTGTAAAATTGTTCATTTGCTTCATCAAGTCTTGTGGGATAGACAACTATCTAAGACATTAGTGAATGCCACTCTAGAATTGCTTCTTTAAAATGCCGTAAATAATTCCCCCCAAATTTAGGTGGCCTCTTCATCCCCTTAGTAATTCTATAACTATAGAAACTAAGCGTGAGCACATATCCTGTTTCAGGTGCTGTATCCATTCACTTAGTCCTGGCTTCTATTACTACACCTTGCATATGAGAAAACGGTGTCTTTGCAAAGTTAAGCAACTTCCCCCAAGTCACATGTTAATAATGAGTGCAACCAGCATTTGAACACCAGCGGTCTTATTTTAAACTCGCCTTTCAATTATTTCTCCAGACTGCCTCTCACAAGTAAAGCCACTTATCAAGTTGACTTTCCTGTTGAGGGTCTTTTAATTGCTTCTATACAGCTACTACTAACATAACAGCTACATTTTGGTATAGATTCTAGATGGCTTTGAGCATAAAGCTGATGGGAATACGCAGTGAAACAGATCATCTGATATATTACTGATGACATTGTAAATAGGCACAGCCGTTTTTGGAAAGCGTTTTGGCACCTATTTCAAGAGCCATAAAATGCTCATATTTTTTGACCTGGTTAATGCCACTTCTGGGAATCTTCTAAATAGTTCAATATGGAAAAAACCGAAGCACTGAAGTGATCATTACGTGTTTGTAACAGAGCGAGTGGAACCCTAAATGTTCAATAGTAGGGGAATGATTAAACAACGGATGGTCTATTTACTTAGGCAGCCAGTAGACGTGTGGTGTTGATGCCACATGGACGAAGAAAACGGGGGTCATGTAAAAGCAGCATGCAAAGCAGTCTATGCACTAAAACTATAGCCTTTACAGAAATGAAAAAAAGGGAATAGAAAAATAATTGTGGGTACTGTTTGTCTTTCTGCTATTTTTCAAACTCTTTGTAATACAGATTTATTTCTAATTTTAAATTAAAGTCACATAATTGCTCCATGCTTTTGTGTATTTGTCTTATGGCAATTGCAGGCAGCATGATGGAAACATGCAAAGACCACCACGGGAAACAGGCAAACTTTGGGAGCCTTGCAGATGCCTCATTTACTGGTTGTGTGAACCTGGGCCAGTCACTGTGTGTCTCAGGAGCCTCGCTTGACCTCCAAAGTGAGCAGTGCAATTTGGGAAACACAGTAGGATCTTTAGAGTCAGGGGGGCCTTGCTGTGTGTCTTTGGCTCTTTTCAGACAAGCCACTCAACTGTAAAGCTCAACTTCCTCATCCATAAAAATGGAACCAGTGAGACCAGTATCTGGCACTCTTTTAGGGGATGCTCTGAAAATCTTCCGTTCAGTTATGGCCCTTATAAAGTGCTCCTTGCCTTTTTTTATCCTTGTGTGGTGGGAGCAAATGTAGTCTTTCACCTAAATTCTTTTGCTTCTTATTTTTTGGGCAGCTGTTTTTACAGTCAACTTCCTGTCTTCTGGTGTAACTTATTATCCATAGTTTAGAGTTAAAAATCATAAGAAAAATTTTGTCATTCAGTGTGGCTGGCTAGAATTCCAGGTTTGTCTTAACCATATTTTTTTTCTAACTATACAAATACAGTAAATGCTTACTGTTGAGCATTCGGAATATACAGAAAGTGGAAAGAAGAAAATTACACCATATTTTTCCTCCCAGTGATGAATATTATATGCATTTTATTTTATTTCTTGTTTTTCTGAATATCTGATTTTTTAAAGGAGAAATATAGGGAAGCTCCTGTTAGAACATTTGTTTTGTTTGGAACAAGTTTAACAGACACTTTGTATTCATTCTGGAACAGTTTATCTTTAACAGATAATTCTTAGATAGGGATAAGACCAATGGGGAACCAGAGGGAGGGTGGGGGAGGAATTAATAGGGAAGTGTTTTTCTATAATTCTGACACCTAACAAAGAATGAACTTAGGCAAAGTACAGTTACCCAAATCATGCTTCCTGGACTTTTTAAGGACAATTACAATTTTAAATAATTTGTACTGTTTTCATTATAAGTAACTTTGTACTCTTTCAGACATGAGTTGTGAATTTTGGTTTGGAAAATATAATCATCATGGTACATGAACTTGGTATAAAGAAGCTTGCAAAATACCCACAATTTTTTGGATCTCGGCCTTACCCTTTTTAGAACATGTGGTTTTAAAAAATCATGAGTTCCTGTAATGTCCTTTGAAGAAAAGTAGGGCATTTATTCTGTGACAGAACCAACAGAGCAACAAATACCTGGGAAGACCAAGCCTGAGCTGCTGTGGCCTTGTGGGGCCAGGCATGGATGTCACAGTCCTCTGACCTGTGCTGGGCTTGTAGTTAGGACAGAAAGGAAGAATGTACTTGTCAAGGGATTAAGAACATTGGCCCATCCATTTTCTGGGCTTTGCTGTATGTAATGACTTTAAAGGTAGGGAACAGGTCTTTTCCCTCTTCTTTCCTTTCTTCAGAGCAGCAATCAGATTATGAAAGGTGACGCAGGGCACATCCCATATAAATAATTTTCAGTGTGGCCTATCTGTCATCCCCACTACACTGAGGAGGACATGAGAAATGTTTGAGGTCAGTGTATTTGTCTTGCCTCATCACTCTCCTTTGAATACTCCACTGTGGTTTGTGCCCCTTTGACTTCTGAGGTCTGCTGCCACAGACAAGAGACTCTTGATTGGTTGGGAGTGGGTGTCCCTCTCTCCTGCTTAGTATCTGCACATCAGGAAAGTCACTTGTCCTTTAACTCATTTTTCTGACTAGGCTGAGCATCCTTCAGTACTGGTGTGTGTTTGTTAACCCTTCCCAGTCATTTCCTCTTCAAGAAAAATCATGACTTATTTACAGGAGGAGAAAACCAAACGTATAGCACACTTTGAGGATCTGGTTTAGAATTTAACTGACTTCCGCAGCCTTAGGCAGTTCTTCGTTGCAGTGACATGGTGGGAATTTAAAAGGGTCATGTGAGAATGGAGCTGGTCACTGTAGCCTGGAAACTTGCTATTTCAAATAATTACAGCCCTTCCAAAAGTGTGCTTGCTTGATATGGAACTTGGTACCCTACAAAAATAGGGTATGATCTGAGACTTTTGAGTATTTTGAAATCCTTGGGGAAGTGGTATTCAGAGCTGTAAAAGGGAATAAGCCATATAGAAAGTTACCTGAATTTATGCACTGTTTTTTCTAGAGAAGATGATCAGTTTTACTTAATTTACTGTACTTTTTAAGCTTTTTTGTGATGGATTACTGATCAAAGTGATTTTTTTTTCCAGTATTGCCTGTCAGGGCACCCAACCTTACCATGCAACGTGCTCAAATTCAAGTCAACCACCATTATGTTGGACTGTGGACTGGACATGACTTCCACGCTCAATTTCCTTCCTTTGCCTCTTGTTCAAAGGTAAGTGCTGATGCACCTGAGACCGAATGAGCTTTAGTTTGTTTAAAAATTATATCCATTTCTATAAAGGTTATCAGTACCTTGTGTGTTGTCATAAGTTTTATTTTGTTCCCTTAAAAAATTATCATCAAAATAATTTCCTTTGGTTGGGTTGATGGAAAGTGTTGTATTGAATTATTGATTGACTTCTTTATTATAACTTCTGAGCTTCTGTAAAATGTTCCTGCAACTGCTCAGTGCAAGTGAGGTCATGTATATTTCATCTTTCCTGCTAATTCATATAAGAGCTGATAAATGGTCAACTGATGAGCCCAAGAATTGAATTTTAGAATCATTTCACTGCCTTTGCAGGGAGTTGACATCATAGAAGCTGACAGTTCATTTCGATAGGCAGCTATGCATTATTTTTATACGAGTCAGCTGTAAATATCATAGAACCGTGTATGAAGCCAAAGGCCATGTCTTAAAGCAGGTAGATTATCCCAGGCCTACAATCAGCACTGTTTATTCTTCTAAGACTTCATCTAGGAAGCTTGCTGTTATTTAGAAGCAGCATTTATAAAAGAAGTGGTGTTAGAAGCAAATAATCCCAGTGGCAAAAAGTGATACATATAAGAGGGGAAACAGAAAGCTAACTAAAGCAAATTTAAAAGCTCAAAAGCATACAGCATGCTAAGTAAACCATCTAATGCATCTCATTCACTCCCGAAGACACCACTATGTGCAATGATTATTCAAAATGATAACCCTGTGAACCATGTAAGAAAAGTAAAAATAAAAATCAACCATTGATTTTTTTTTTCCCCCTGAGCTAAGGGATACAATAAGGTGATGGGGACAAGGTCAGAGATAATTGCAGATTACGTTTTATGCAAAGCTCATAAAACTCGGTTATAATCACACCCAGCATTTAGAAATTCATTTACCATGCACATGCAGATATTATCCAAAAGAGGGATATATTTATAATATGTATTCACATAAATAAAGAGAGAGAATTGGTTTAGGCACTGCACCACATATTTCTCAACAAAAACAACTTACAGTTTATTTCTTATTAAAGTTGCCTGAAATTATTGTCTCTGCCCCTCCCCCCCAAAATTAAAATGTTCATTTATTTGGTGTTTACTAAGAATCTGCACTGTGCCAAACTAGGGGATATAGACATGAACAAGACAACTTTACTTTCCTCGTGGAACTTATAGTCTTTTAGGAGAAAAATAATTACACGGTTGAAGATGTCATGCCTATGTTAAGAAAACAACTACAAGAAGTCTGTCCAGAAAGTATCCAGCTATGTACTATGAAACATAGACGTTTCTTGAACATACAGGTAACATTCATTGTACATAGGACATTGATGCCCCTTCAAAGTAGGCACCTCAAGACCTCACACAGTTCTCCCAATCTCCATCAGCTGCCCTAAAGTAGGCGCCATATCTGGGCCATAGGGAGGGCTGAGTCACATGGGTGATTTGATGTTTGTCCAGAAAACTCTGCACAAAACGTGATGCGTGAGTGGACACATTGTCGTGATAAAGCTGCCAATCACCACTTGCCCATAGCTGTAGCCTTCTGAATCATCCAAATAGCTTCCCCAAAGCTTAATGCAAAATTTGATGCAGATTCATTGCTATATTCGCAGTCATTTTGAATGCAACGGCCACACAGTACACATGTTCGTTGAGCAGCATCTACCACCCCCACCAACTAGTACAGAGAAGTCACCATTGTTCACACATGCACATTCCAATCCACTCTTCCTTGGCTGCCAGGTTAAATCGATGTTGTGCAAACTGTTCTAATTATATTAACAATGGCTGGACTTTTTCTGGACTAATCTCATGTATCTTGATAATTACTAAGGAAAATAAAATACAAGGTACTGTGAGGAAGCTTATATTCCCTGTGGGGTCATAAATTATCCAGGTATTCAAAATCTACTTTGGGCAGACAGTCCTACCTACGTATTTTCCCTTTCCTGTTTATTCTTATCTTTACCTAATTCTTATAATTCTCACAGCCCTGGCTCAGCATTAGAATCCACTTGTACTCTGTCTACCCTTTGTCATTGGTTTTCCCTCAGAGGGAGGTTATACTAGTGGGATGGTTGGCAACCCACATAGTTTACTTCAAAAAGTATCTTCCTTTGCTCTGTTCAGAAACCTTCAAGATATACTTGGCTAAAATAGTGTCCCCAGTTCCTCCCTATACCCTCATCCTGCTTTATTTTGGTCATAGTACTTATAATTGCATTACATACACACATTTGGTTTATATATTGTTCTCCTCCTTCACTAGAAGGTAAGTTTTATAAGGGCAGGGATTTTGTCTGTTCTTCACAGTATCTGCTGTGCCAAAAACAGTTCTCAACAGGTAGCTTCTCAGTAAATATTTGTCATTTGAATGAATCCCTCTTTCTTCCTTGGATTCCAACCCTTCTTGCCCCCTCAATCATCTCGCTATTAATTGTAATCCTTTATCTTGAGCCCTTCCATCTTAGCTCATTTTTTCCCATTTAATTATACTGTCATTTCTAACTCAAAATTTAAGAAAAAAAATTGTTCATGTTCTCACAACTCTACTTTTCCCTCAGCATTCCTAACTGCTCTCTAACCTGTGCTTTCCCCACACCACCCACCAGAACACCTCTCCCGGAAGTCACCAGTGGCCTCCATGTCATCGGCTCTGATGCACGTTCTCCTCCATGATCGCATATTCCTGGCTCTCCGCCTACATCTCTGGTACTTCCTCTTCGGTCTACTTTGGGGATTCATCTTTCTCCAGCTGGCCATCACATACCAGAATTCTTGAACGTCCAGTGCTTGGCCATCAGAGTCTCCACGAAAGGAATTTAAGAAATGCTCAGGGCTTCAATAACAATCCAAACAATAACTTCTAAATGTGCTTCTTTAGTTAATAATTCTCTTCTGGGTGCCTGTTGCATCTGTCCAAAATATTCATATATCCAAAGTTTCTCTCCCTGGATGTGCCTTCGAAGGCACTTCAAAGCTCAGCGTGCCCCAAATCGAGTCCCTTATTAGCCTTGGTCCCGAAGAGGCGGGCAGACACCCCCAGACCAGTTTTCCCCCACAGTGCCGTATCTTCGTGAGTGGCATCCTGCTGTCAAAGCCAGAACACTGAGAGTTAACTTCCTGTTCCTCAACGGCGATATCAAGTCTTTCATGGAGCCTTGTCATTTGTACCTTCTAAAGAGCTCTGGTATCCAGGGGAGACTCTTCCGTGTTACTGTCCTCATTATCCTCTTTTACGGGCATTACTGCTAAAGCCTCCTAGCCACTTTCCTCAATTCTGATCTTGTTCCTGCCTGAATCCAAAGTCGCCTTTTTATGTAACTTTTTACCTTGAAATCACTTCAGATTTACAGGAAAATTGCAAGAATAGTAAAAACAACTCCCAATAATCCTTATCAGTTAACATTTTATTACATTTCCTTTGTCATTTTCTCTTTAAATGTATGCATGTAATTTTTTCTGACCTGTTTGAAAGACATGATGCTCCTTTACCACCTAAACTTAAGTGCCTATATTCTAAGAAGGACATTCGCTACCTAATCATGGTACAGTAATCAAAATCAGGAAACTTACACTGACATTGTCCAAGTATCTAAACTTAATGCCCTATTCATATTTCCCAAGTTACATCAGTCCATATTTTAGTATAATGTCTTTTATAGTGAAAAAGAAAAATAGTGATACAGGTTGAGGATCTAATCCAGATCATGTTGCATTTAGTTGTCCTGTCTTCAGCCTCCTTTAATCTGAAAGAGTTTCACAGTCTGTTATGACCTTGTCATTTTTAGGAGTACAGGCCAATTATATTATACAGCATCTTAGAGTTTGGGCATGTCTGAGATTTCTTCACAATTAGATTGGGATTATTTTTGATATGAATGCCAAACAAATGATGGTATATGTTATCAGCAGGCACATGATGTCAATTTTCTCAGAACCAGCTTTTAGAATTACAAATCTAATCTTGTCTCTTACCCATTTAAAACAAGGGTCTTTCATTGCTGTTAGGATAAATACCAAGCACATCTTGGTACAGGAGGCTTTATGCCTGTTCCTGTAGTATCTGGCTCTTTGTTTCCTTTCAGTTTCAAAGTAATCTTATCTCCTGCCTGGGACAGTCACACATTTGTTCCTTTAGCCAGGAAGGCTCTTCGCTCCCCCCTCCATCCCTCCCACCCTCCCTTAGCCTGCCTAGCAGGAGCTTATCTCTCAGGTTACTTATGACTCCAGTTCCTACACAGAAAGGACACAGGCAGGACTTAGATGGCGGGGAGGGAGTGTATGGGACTCTTCTTGAAATTTCATTTGAATAACCTTTTATCTAAGGTGCCCATGCCAAAGGCTGGTGAGAATGAGGGGCGGAAGGCACTGAACCAGTAGGTGCCTACTTTCTCTGCTCTCTCCAAACCCTACCTCTTGACCCAGCTTCTCCTTGACTCTGCTACTGTCCAGATCTCACCTCAAACATCGTAGAGCCGGGCAAGTCTTTTGATGTTGCCTAGGTCCTCATTAGCAGATGCTGTTCTGCTTTGTACCACACTGCTTCCTCATTTTTAACAGCTTGGTGTCTATTTGTGTTGTGGTACTTGATAATGTCTCTCCTCCAGGAGGACAGGTATTCTTTGCTCATGGTCACATCACCATCACCTGAACGCATGACACATAAAGAAAGATTCATTAATGAATAAGTGAAGACAAACACCTCATTCTCCTACAGCACTACAAAGAGGCCATTCCTTTTTCTGGATGGCCTCCTCCATCTTTTTTTTTTTTTTTTTTAATCCTAACCCAAGGATATGACTATTGATCTTAGAGAGAGAGGGGAGAGAAAGGGAAGGAAAGAGAGAAACATTGATGTGAGAGAAAAACATTGATGAGTTTCCTCCCATATGCACCCCCATAAGGATTGAACCCACAACCTAGGTGTTTGCCCTGACTGGGAATCAAACCCACAACCTTTCAGTGTATGGGACGATTGCTCCAACCAACTGAGCCACCTGACAGTTGTCTACTGACTATTTCTCAAATTCAGAATAACTACAGATACTTCATAGAAAGCTATGATATAAAAAATGTTTAAGAAAAGTATAACCACAATACTGGAAATTTTTACTTTTTAAAATACAATAATTATTCTCCAATAAGCAGTGTATGATTCCTAATCATCTGTTGATGACAACTGAGTCATCTCTAATCTGAAGACTGATTTGTGTGCATCTGATAGGGAACAGAGAGAATGCAGACACTGTGAGCCAGTTTTCTTTAAAAAGGGAAGTGAATGTTGATAACCTCCTTTAGAGAGTTAGCATGCATGAAATAACAGTATTCATGTTGTCTTGTCATTATACTTTTATTAGAATACTTAGTTTTTTTTTAACCTGATCTGGTAGTAAATATATTTGTCAAGAAGTAAGAAGCCTATAAATGGCATATGTGACTGCGAAAGGAGATGGGAATTAAATTGGTAGTGACAGTAGAATACTTCTCTGACAGGTTAGAGCAGAAAACTCCCAGAGTTTTTTGGGTTTTGTTTTTAAAGCTCATCGATTATAATTCATACCAACCAAATTTGATTCTCCTAGTGGTGATTTTCATTCTCAACTATAAAACCCAAAATTCTTACTATTTGATTAATGAAAGCAAAATGTAAACAACGATCCCAGGCAAGGGGTATCTGGGACTTTATTGTACTTACAACTTTTCTCTGAGTTTGGAATTCTATTAAAATTAAAAGTTACCCCCAAATTTTTCATTTTTTTAAAGATTTTTGTTTGTTTGTTTGTTTTTAGACAGGGGAAAAGAAGGAGAAAGGGAAACAGCAATATGTGGTTGCCTCTCAGGCCCCCACTACTGGGGACCTGGCCAGAACCCAGGCTTGTGCCCTGACTGGGAATCGAATCAGAGACCTTTTGGTTTGCAGGCTGGCAGTCAATCCACTGAGCCATACCAGCCAGGGCCAAATTTTTCACTTTTAAAGAAAAATGAGAGGCATGTGTATTTAGGTTTTTAATCTTTCCTAGAAGATTGAGAAATATTCATATACTTATGTTTCTATTTGACTTTAATACCCATCACTTGCATGTAAAATCAGAATCTGATCACATTATTTTGGCAAGAGAATAAGGGACTATACATTAATTTGATTTTTGATTATACAGTCTTCTAGTCCCCCACCCTTACTCTGCCCTTAATTTTTACTTCACAGACTGATTTTGCGGTGAAGTGCTCAATTCCTTTTGCCATTCAGCTTGTACTTCTGAGGTGCTTTTTCTTCACACATCACCTTGATCATTAAGTTTTTCTTTTTACAGCATTTTTTTTAACTATTTGCATTTTCACCTACCAACATAATTCCCCTGGTCAACTAATGGCACACATATAAATTCTGAGATTACCCGAAGGGAATGATTTCTGAACCCGAGCTATTTTAATGTAGCATATATATGTGAAATTAACCTCCTCTTCTAGAAATAACTCACTTAGACATGGCTCACTTAGATCATTTTTAACATTAGGGAAACGAGCTTCATTTTCCAGAGTTGGAAACTCAAGCCACAGGTGACAAGGGACAAATCCACTTAAAAGCAGTGACTTCAGAATGTGAGTTTGACTGGCATTAAGGTGTTTCCATTTGCAGTGAATTCTGGCCAGTAGGCAGCTCAGCGTACTTGTCAGAGCCACTGGCCGCTCTGAGTCTGTCCCGCCCACAGATCCTGATCCGACTTGGCCTGCCCCTCCAGCTTGTCCTCAGCACAAGCAAGGTGGCGTCATGGGCAGTGCCTGGAAAGTGATTGTCCATCTTTCTGTTTTCTTTATTGTTCTGCATAGTGTTCTTTTGATTTTTCCAATTTAGTGCTAAACTGTTTGGCTTTTTAATGATCTGTTGCCACATAATTCTTAAGCTTGGTACAACAGGGCTCTTTTTTATCTTTTTGATTAGTATTTTGGATGAACCTTGCTGCCAATAATTTCGAGCTGCTTTTAACTTTATGGAGACAGTACAGTCACCTTGAAATCGCTAAGGATTATAATCTATTTAGGATAATTTAATCTTTTGTTTTGCAGTGCCAGGCTGTCTAATCTTCCGGGCTGGTCCCTAAAGGATGGAAATGTTTTCTTGGACAAGGTAATGATTAACTGAAGTGCATCTACACCCAGTGGAAACCCTCTTGTCATACCAGGAACCCAGTAGTGTTGTGATTGATGGGCTTATTCTTCCCCCCCCCCCCGCCCCGCCCCACCCCGTGTATTCTCCCTGAAATATCCCAAGATCCATTTAGGGTCTTTAGTACTTGGTGATTATTGTTTTTAAGAGCCTTTTAGGGAATCAGGTCCAGTTTCTCATATGAAAAAAAAAAAAATCTAAGAGCTGCAGCTGCAAATAATATTTTGTCACCACAAAAAGAAAACTATCATTTTTATAATGCAATGAGATTTTCAAAGGTGATACTTATTAGAGAGTTCCACCAGCTCCATGACTGGAAGGAATAGACTTTAAAAAAAAAACAAAAAAAAAAAAACCTTTAAACTCCTTGAATATGTGAGTTTTAAACTGTGTCTGTCAGGGGTCAGATTGAGTGGGGCATTGTGAAGTTTGGGTCTCTTGGGGGTGATGGGAGGCCACAGAAGGTTGCGGCAGAGCAGGGTCATCATCTGATGGCATCGCTTTGTCCTCCGTGTGAGGAATAGACTGAGGAGCTGGGTGTGTAACTTCCCAGGCAGTGCATTCTTGGGGGGTGGGGTAAAAACATGTTCTTCGGTAAATTTGCATAGAGGGCCTTCCAGACTATGGCCTGTGATGTTAGGCTTCCCTGGCAGCCTAGTGTGGACAATCTCATACATTATGGTGGAGGAGAAGAACATAGTTCTAGGAATCTAAGATTTGGCATCGTATTGACTTTAATCACTGACTAATAAGGTCTAAAGTAAGTGACTTAAATTACTTCTTTCTAGGCTATTAAGTTTTTGACATTAGATTATCTTCACAGTAATTTCTTCCTCTGATCATTATTTAGGCAGTTAACTTACAAATGAGAGACCAAAGGTACAAAAAAATGTTAAAACTATAATCTAGTCAAATTTTATACTAAAAAAATCAGAGGTAAAATGTTAAAAACTTCAAAGCTTATCCATGCCATTCTTAGTCCTCTAAATCATTCTTTGTTTCCAACGTCTCACAATTGAAAGCGTAAATAAGTTTAAAAATCCTTAAAATGATTCATCTGAATAAGGCATTTCTTTCTTGTAACAGATGTTGTTAAATAAAGAGGTGCTTTTTTTACCCAATTAATTCCTGTGAACTGCACCCCAACCTCAAATGCAATCCAAGTGCCTAATTTAAAACGAGATTTCCCTAGTTAATCTGTAAAATTCTGTGACATTCAGGAACCTGTGCACCTGATTTCAGCCTTACTCTTCCACTGGCTGTAAATCATTGTTCCCTGAGAACGGTTCAGAAGCATCCCATTACCAGTGCATTGTGAGCAAAATGACTTGCATGTGTATGTGAGAGCATTTCATTAGAAGGGAGTGTGAATAAAATACAGTGACATTGTAAGTGCGCAGAATGGCAAATGTGCTTCTCCAACCAGGAAGGAGGAGAGCCTCAGAGGAGGCTTTGTCATGTGAAGTAGGCATGCCCTGATATGTAGCCTTACGGGGAAGAAGATTACGTAGCCAATTTAAAACCAGGCAGGGCTTTGAAATTTCCCATGATTTGTCTGCAATCATTTTTAACCTCATCCTAAGGGAGTTGGGAGTCTTTTCCCATTAAACATAATTGCTTATTTGTTTTTAGCTGGCAGATACATTGTAATTAAGAACTGTTTGTAGTCTCTTTTTGGCTCCAGTTTTCACTGGTTAAATGGTTTTCTTGTAAGGAGAGGAGTCAGAGTTTACAGTGAAAGGCAAGGGGAGGAAATGTTCTATCAAGGTTCTGGTATGAGGCTTGTACAATTCAAAAGGCAAATTCAGATAAAGATTGAGAGTGAAATCATTCAGACACAAATATAAGTATAGATACATATATAAAAATATATAGAAATGTATGTTCAGTGACTAATGAAGACATAATAAAATTCTAACACTACTGTTGTCTTTCTGAAAAAAGCAAACTGTCAACGAAACTATATGCTTTTTTATAAAGTCATAGGTAGCTTTAATCTTGAGGGAACAAAAAATTCTCCATAGATTTCAGTTGCAAGTGTCAGGGAGGGAAGACAGCAACTCTGGTGGCCTTCTGGAGGCATTGCAGCAGCCCCTTGGTGGCCCACTCATGTCTCTTCAGTGTGCTCGCCATACTTCCAGCTGCCAGCACCTGTACGGTTTGCGGGAGAGTTTTCCTGAAGCTGTGAAATGCAGGGGTTGCTATGTAAACACCTCAGATTCCTTGGCCCTGGGAGGGTAACACCAAGGTGTATGTTTCACACAGCGGAGTTTCCCCGGGATTAAGTCCCACTTGCCCACAGGGGCATGGAGCTCAGTAACACATCCTTATCAGCCGTCTTCCTTTCCCCTTGTCGCTTGCCCATCCTCCTCCTATTTTCCAGCACCTTCCATATAAGTTTGCACTTGCCCTTTTCTCAGAGTTTGTTTGTGAGGGAATTCAAACCAAGACACGCATATCAAATGTGGTAGGTCATGGCAGAGTGGGGAGTTGCACTATTTTCTTTTGAATGATTACATTTGGTTTATAATCCCAAATAAATTGTATGCTCTGCCAGGGCAAAGGTATATTCATGAAGGTGATGGGGGAGGCAGTTTAATCCCTGTTCTCTGCCCTTCATCTCCCTCCTTCCTTGCCCTTGCCAGGAGGAGAAAGAAGCTCTAGGGCGAGGACACCCAACCTTATTAAAATCACCAGCGGTGCTTGTTATAGCCACAGATTCCACGGCCTCATCCCCCGAGGTTCTGATCCCTCGTGTCTTAGACCGGACCCAGGAACCCTGATTTCCATCGGTGTTCCCGCTATATCCTGATGTGGCTGGCGTGGTCTGCATAACTGTTACTCGGGAAGCACTGGATCATGAATTATGGGAGCAGCTTATGTCCACACATGGCTTCCTCGAAGAGGCATCAAGAAATACGCATTTAAGTCCTGAGTCAGCCACTTGCCAGCATTTTTTATCCTGAATAAGACACCTGAACTCCCTGAACCTAACATGGAAACAGTTGGCCAGAATAACCTTGTAGCTTCCCTCCAACTCTAGCAGTCTGATTCTTCATGAAAAGTTTGATTGGAGATAAAATTTCTTTGTAGTTGTATTTATTGGATATTTCTTCCTAGAATTTTTCCTTTTCATTTGTTTTAGGAGCTCAAGGAGTGCTCGGGTCATGTATTTGTGGATTCTGTGCCTGAATTCTGCTTACCAGAGGTAAGATTAAAGTGAATCTTACTGTACAAGCAAAGCATACCTTGTCATCTCTCAAAATTAAGTCAAGAAATAATTTTAAGGGGCTTAGCTGCCTATTTTCAAGTTGAAATTAATCTGTTATTCCAGTCACTTTGCTTTTTTTTAATTGAATTTATTGGGGTGACATTGGTTCACAATCCAGTCAGTTTATTATACAGCTAAAATAGTTCTTTATGTTGTCCAGTAATCATTTGTCACTCTCTTCTTCCTGTGTCTAGCTCTTTCCATAATCCCTACTGACACTTGTACTAGGGCATAGTTTTAAGCAAGGTAAAGAAACAGCTCAGGCCTTGCAGTTTTGTAATTATAATGCCAGTGACCTGGATTAGCCATACTTTTCCTAGTCTTGTTTAGAGTGGGTAATTGAGAATTGCTGTTACTCAGCCAATGCAATAAACTGTAAAAATGCTTGTTGATGTGAAAGATCATATTGAATATGGCTTGAAATTCACAGATTCTGAACTGAGGTATGGATATCTGTCATGTACATATTATTATAGTGAGACTTGTTATAAGAGCCCAGGTCCAATTTTATCATCTAAAGAAAACAAAGCTCAGTTTCTATTAGTTTTAAAGGAAGCTAATCTCAGTTGACAGGCCTAATCCCCAGAGTGCCCTGGGCAGAGTTCTCAGTGACAGATGAAGTGTGGCAAAGCCGGTCGCTAGTCCAGGGTTCCTGAGGAAATCAATGAGAAGCTACCATCCTGTTTTTCCCATGCACCCAATGGATTACAGTGCCCACAGAAGATACTTCACAGTTCAGTGCCAAAGAGAAAAGAAATATAGAGTGCTATTTCCTTCATTTTTGTTCTCTCTTCCTCCCTCTCTTTCCATTTCTACAATTTCTTTGTTGGCCTATAGATGAACATTTTTCTCTCTTTAAATTATGTGTGTGTGCCCTTTGGGGTACCAGAGTGAAAGAAAGGAAGGAAAACAGAGAAGGGCATAGAACTGAAGGTGGCAGAAAAGGGAGAAGTTTTGAGGTAAAGTACTAAGAATAAGGGTAAAGGTAGACAGCCGCCAAGAATCCTGCGCTCTCCCTACCTGCAGTTATTGTTTTTGTCATTTTCATTCGTCATTTAGGAATCAGTGGGGCAGTTCCCCATCTGTTCGAAGGCTCCTAATCCCAGATGCTTCATTCATTTTCAGTTTTCTACATATGGCACTGACTGCTGCAACCTTCAGTTTATGGACAACAAGGCAGAATCCATGAATTGGTGTCCTGATGACTTTGTGACTTGCTCCACAGAGCACTAAACTTTGAAATTGGACAGTTACCATTTCACAGTTCACCTTTTGGTGAGCTAAAGGAATATGGATACATCTAGGACTCTAGAGCAGCAGCTTTCAACTGGTATGTGGTGGCCAGCACCCAGGTACACCGCAAGAATTTTTAAAACATGCAATGCCTGACTAATCAGGGGCACTGACCTCTTTTCCCCTAGATTGTCAAATAAAAAACTGACAACAGCCAACCAACAGTAGCCGTCCAGTCAGATCGGCAAAAAAAATATTTTTTAGTGTGCCTCAGAATTTTAGTAATTAGTTTGTGTGCTACAAGATGAAAAAGTTTGAAAATTGCTGTTCTACAGACATGTTTTTTCAACTTCTGTCATAACTTGTGGTTTATAACAAGTTAGTAATAGTTACTATTTTAAGGTAGAACCAGGGCATTGTATGATCAGAAGAGAATAGGAGAGTCGGAAAATCAGGAGAGAGGTATTTGCTGCTGTCCAGCTGTCGCTGACTCGTGGGCGAGTCAGGCAGACCTGATCCCAGGCCTCACGGAATTTATAAGTTATAATCTTGTACAGCTGCCTTAAACATCTTAGTGTCCCCCAAAGCCTGCACCATGGACTGTGTATAATGCCCAGCACAGTATAGCAAGCAACCACTAAGGGGGAGTGGTTTGACCCCGCCCGTGGTCTGTAGAACCCAAGTGTCTATCCTGGAAGTTTAAAATGAAAATCGTCTTTACTGGATTTCACTGAGTAGAAAATATGTAAGTAAATATATAAATGTGAATATATAAACATGATTTGGATATTGAATTTATTTCTCAGAGGAAAAAATATGTAGACACTGTCGATATATATACAGACAAAATATATTTTTTTTTTCTTCTAGCAATCCTCACCAAATTTTTCATCATTCTAGGCTTTGTAGGTTGATTTTTATACATTAAAGAGAAATTTCAGATATTCTTACCCAGCTTCTGTGCATGAGAGGGAAGGTAGAGAAGCTTCTGAGCTTTGCTGTTTCTTTAACTGTCCTTCCCTGTTTTCCTCTGGATCTGTCACTGTGCTACTCTGCCTTCATTTCCTTGTCCATTTAAAACTGCTTCTAGAGAGGTGGTAGGGGTAGGACTAACAGAACGCTGCGTGGCCTTTCATGACAAAGATATTATCTTGGAAGTGCAGCGTATAACATGGGGTTTAGGGTGGTGTAAATTGAATATTGTTGTCATTAAGCATTTTATTCACATAAATTGCCACTTCTCTAGGCGGTAAGTAGCTTTTGACCTCAAATGTATTAATACATGCCATTTTCAAGAGCTGATTATGCCTCGGCAACTTTATTAAATTAACTTATTTCATATGTAAAGTCATTCAACCAGAAAATACCCACAGCCAGAATGGTACATTGTCTCTTTCGTTTGCAAAGGTGGCACAGACATCCTTGTTACCTCTCCTCTGTGGGGGACATATTAACTCCATGATCCATTTCTAAAAGACTCCCTTGACTTGCTGCATGCTGTCCTCAGTGCACCCTGCAGTTTCCAGGGGTAACTTCTATGAGACGCGTAACTCAGTGGTTGAGATGACGTCTCTGAACCACAGCATCTCACTTTTCCCTACAGAAGGTGCTGCTTATAACTACACTCCTCCTGCAAGTGCCCCAGGCCTGCCATCTGCTAGCTACCACAGCTGGGAGGGGACAGAAATAAGTCAACAGGAGTGTTGGCGTTAGAGGCATTTAATATTGGAGGGGCAGAGGGATACTCTGAGTTGCCATCGCACAGAATGATGACTGCCATCAGGGGGACGTCCCAGGCGCCTTGGTGTTCTGAGAAGGAAGTGGTTTCTTTCATCTGGGCAAATCAGGAAGGCTTAGTGCAAGAGGAGAATCGGGCTTTAAAAGAGGTGGGAGACTTAAGTTTATGGGAAAATCATTTCCTTCTAAGAGAGTTTTCATAAAATTTACTAAACACGGTAGCATTGTTCCCTCACCTGCCAACCTGTCTTTTTTCATTTTCACATGCCATTTATAGGGGGTAAAGTAGATTTGGGGTTACGACTATGGTAGAATACGAGAGTATGGTTTCCTTTTGTGACTAGTGTCACTACTTCGTTGTTTGTTTGTTTGTTTTTGCGGGGGTGGGGCAAGAGAGGGTGGGTCTCTATATCTAGCACTAGCGGTCAAATGTGACCTCTAAAAAAAATGAAAATAAAAGTTGGCTCCCACATTTGACCTTGGAAGAGCAGAGTTCTGTGTGCCACCCGCTCTGTTCCTGTAATCTGTCACAGTGGCACGTCACATTCTAGCTCCCCTCACAGCTTATACTGTGCTCTGTCTGCTTCGTGTTACCTGGTCTCACTCGCCAGGCAGCAGTGGCTGAGGTGCTGTCATTTATCCTCATATGCCTAACTCAGAACTCCGGTTTAGCAAAATCAGGGCGCTGCTGGTGGACTGCTTGCATTCTCATTGTGAGCCATCTTGTCCCGTTACTTAATGTTAATATTAGGAAGCATCCTAAAATGAGAAGTGTGCAGGAAAGCCATTATTACTCCGTAGTACAAAAACTACTCGGCATTCTGACAGCATCATTATTTAGTCACATCATGTTGATCTATGTGCTCCGAACAGATATATATCATTCTCTCTCCTTTCTTTTCAGACTGAGCTAATAGATCTGTCTACGGTAGATGTGATCCTCATCTCTAACTATCACTGCATGATGGCACTGCCCTATATCACTGAGCACACCGGTTTCACAGGCACGGTGTACGCCACAGAGCCCACCGTTCAGATCGGCAGGTGAGACTCTTCTTCTCTCATGGGCATGTGGCTGGAGACCCCCTTCCTTCTCTGGTGACTAGTGAATAGAATGTTGGGCCGGGAGGGATTGTTATTTCCTTCTGAGCACCTGATCCAGAGAACAGGCGTGAATCGGTGGCTCCCTAGATAAAACAAGTGTTCACTGGAAATGTTCTCGTAGAGACTGATGCTTCTAGTAGTCCAGTCTTCATTGTCTTTATTTTGGGGTGGGGGGAGTACCAAAACTGGAATGAGTTCCCAGAGACAGCTCCTCTGTGTAGATGATACTTATTAGGGGAGGTGACATTTAATAAGATGCCAAAAACATGGACTGCAAAGAGCTTCAGGAAAAAGGCACATTGCATATTTAAGAAAAGAAGAAATTTTATTACTTTGCTTTCAAAAAGCCCTCCTTTTATGGATCAGTGCAGGCTACACATGGAGACAGCATGTAGACAGCAGGGTAAATAATTGGACTGGAAAGTTGTCTGCGCTGTTGTTAGAGTGGAACTCAGAGCTCTAAGGAGTAAAACAAAAACCTCAGGCCTACCTTTGGCTCAGAGCGCTCTGCTGTGTCTCTCTCTCTGCCCCTCCCAAGTCATGGCTGCTGCAAGTAACTGTAGCATCATTTAGTGAGAAGGAAATCATGCGAAGACAGTTACCCCAGCAAAAGGAATTGTGTTGAAGAAAACTAACAAACGTGGTATAAGGTGCAGCTATCAAGACTGAAAATATGGGTTCTAGGGTCTGGCAGAAGTCCAACGAGATGGAATTACCAGAAGTAAAACAGTATGTCCTTGTTTTTGTGTCAAATCACATTACCTGCGGTGTGTACAGAAAAACGTAAGGGAGCCGAGGAAGAGGCGTTGCAGGAAAGCGAAAAGATTCCAGGTGATAGGTCAGTTTTGGTGAGGGACACGCTGAAAACGTTGGACCCCAATCTGAAAGTTAATGCGTGAGGATGGACACAGCCAACTGTCCTCCTGAAAGCTGTAACCAGGAGGGGAACGAGCCGGACCCCAGATCTTAGAACACAGGAACCCAGCCTGCTCCTTCGCGGTGGAAGGAGGGGATGGTATTAGGAATAAAGAGATAAATGGAAATGCAGTTGTTCAGCATTCGAATGCTAATAAACTGATGGCTTGCCACACCTATGTATTGATTAGAAGAGGATTGAAGTCAGCCTGGATCATCTCTACTGGATTATGAAACGGGTTTCCTGATACTGAAATTTTTTTCCTAGCTTTTTGATCATCCTGTAGTTATGCAGGTTCTGACAGCTCTCTGTACCACGTACCCGTTAGAGCACGTGGACCATTGTCCCCTCAAGTGAGGCCTTTCTTACTACTTTCCCTCGGTTGTGATTCTGTGGTAACCCATTTTGTAATCCGCGTAGCCTGCCCTTTTGCATGTTTTATATTCTGGATTTTTAACGTGGAAATTAACAGAAGGCTAGGTTTGTGTACAACTTTGTGTCACGTAGTGCCCACAGTTACATACAGCAAAGAAAAAGATGACTGAGGACGGGGAAGATAGGCAAGCCCATTCCTCTTGGCTACAGTGTTAGAATGCGATGTTTTTCTAATTCTTTTATGAGTTTTCATCACTCTTTTTGTTTGTTTAAACTCAGGCTTCTCATGGAAGAGCTGGTGAATTTCATTGAAAGAGTTCCCAAAGCTCAGTCTGCCTCCTTGTGGAAGAACAAGGATATTCAGCGGTGAGCAAAGGCCTGTCTGTCCTCTTCACAGTAGAGCCTTAGGCTTTACAAAACAGTCTCATTTGTTCTCTGTTTTACATATATGTATGCTGTTAGAACTAAAGATTCTCTTTTCCCTATTCTATGAAAGGGTTATGTTTGATTCAACCAACATACTTTGAGAGGCAGCCATGCCATGTGCAAGGCACTGTGCTGGGTCTGGGAGTTGTTAAAAATTAGTACAGTGGGTTCTGTCTTTGAGGTATTCAAGGATCAATGGGAAATAAGACAATTAAGGAAGTGGATTACAACTTGAACGGCATGTACTAGAAGAGATGCTTAATCACAGTGCTGAAGGCACTCAGAAAGTAAAGAACAAGGCAAGGACTTCTCTTAAGAGATGACATTCCTCTTGGAGGACGAAAAGGCCTTTTCCAGACAGAAAAGGTTTGGGCACAGCATCCAGGATAGAGTGTGTTCAGGGAACAGGGAGAAATTCAGGCTGGATTAGAGTGAGTAGAGAGAGAAGAGCAAGACGAAACTAGAGAGGAATGTTGGGGAGTGATAATGAAGAAACTAATGTGTAATGCTTGAACATTTTTGGCAGTGGGAAGTCCGTCAGTGGAGGTTTATAAGGAGGAGAATGGCATGATCACATACTTGTTTGGGGGAAAGTAACTCTGGAAGCAGCATGGAGAGTGGACGGGCGCACAGAGGTGGGGTGGGAAGACTGTGTCACAGACCCGGGGGAGCGAACAAAAGCCTGGACTAAGGCACTCGCAGTGAGCATGAGGAGTCTAACTCAGCCCTCACCGGTGTGGCTTAGTTGGTTGGGCACTGTCCCACAAACCGAAAGCTTGCTGGTTCCATTCTTGTCAGGGCACATGCCTGCGTTGCAGATTTGGTCCCCAGTAAAGGCAGGTACAGGAGGCAGCCTATCAATGTTTCTCACATCGATGTTTTTCTTCTGCTTTCTCCCTCCCTTCCCTTCTCCCTGGAATCAATAAAAGAAAAATAAAATTTTTTTAAGTCTAACTTTTCTGCAATGGAATTAGAATTGGTAAGAATCATCAAAGAAGCTGTGAGGTTGTAATTAGGAAAGTAAGAGAAGCACTGAGCGGAAGCCAAGGGGCTGGGGGGGGGGGGGGCGGGCGGAGAAGATGTGTCCCCAAACCCAGGCTTGTCAGTGGTCTCAGAGGCTGCAGACATCTCGTCACACAAGATGGCCACGAGGCCCTTGCCGATGGAATTTCCAGAGAAGTTAGTTTCAGTAGAGTTCTAGGATCAGAAACCAGATGATAAGAGGTGAAGTAAGTAGAAATGTAACTGAGGAGGTAAGGAGGCAGCTTGATTCCACATCCGTGCTCTCATACTTAATTGGCAGCAGAGGACACCAGTCAGTCTTAACATGCCGCACGGTCCCTGACCTTGCGGACTGCCGCCCTCCCCTTCAGGGCCCGGCCTCCGGAGTCGAACCAAAACCCGTCTGGTGACTTCTTAAGTGGCACGTGTTCCATACAGTCCTACTCAAGGCCTCTCTTGTCCATCTGTCTTGCCACTGAGTTCTCTTTCCCTCTAGATCAGTGATTTGTTAGCCATCTGGTTTTCTAAACTTCAGAATGTCTTAGTTTTTGTGAATATTCTTTCTACAAGAATGCATACATGTAGCTAGGAGAATGCACTTTGTTTTTATACTGTAACTGTTTCAGAGTTAGAGCATGTGAGTCTCCTCTATGCAGTCCTTTGTATATGAGTTATATATTCAATTTAACATAGGTAGCACTGTTCTCAATGTTTTATTTAATAAATTTAATTTTTTAACATTATCATTTTACAGATGAGAAAACAGGCACAGAGAGGTTAAGGGACTTGCTCAACGTCACCCAACTAGTGAGTTACTGTAGGATTTGGATTCAAACCCAGACAGTCAGGCTAGGCTGGTTCCAGAGCCTATGCTGTTAACCACTGTGCCAGGCCGCCTCTTGGGCACACACACGCCTCTGCTCACGGGTGTGTGAGACCCCTCTCATGTGAGGAGAGGAGAAAGTGTGTTTAACTATGCACATTCTTTCCTTTGTTTTATGGATCTTCTTTATGCCTCTGTTTTCTCAATTGGGGAGTTGGTGTCTGTCCAGCTTCACATTAGGAAACATTCTCTGGACACACACACGTCTGAGTCTTTAAATGGTTTCCTTGATCTGCCCACCCACCTGCTTAGCACAGGGTCCCACCCCTCCACATTTTGCATTCTCATTCTTGGCTCCCTTTCCTCCTGCCATTGCTCTGCCTTCTCCCCCTTTTCCTTCTCTTTCCCACATGCTCCCTGGACCACATCAGACCCACTTCTCTACATCCCCCTACTTAGAAACCTTGGGACCTTGTTTTCTTTCCCCATGGAACACGCATGCCTTGGCTTCCCTTACTTCCTCCTTTTAAATTTATACCCAGTATACTATTCTGCCACAAATAATTTTGGCACACCAGAAATGACATTCAAAGGTCACTGTTTCCTGACTCCCAGACCCTGGGCCAAGTCTTAGGAAGTTCCAAGTCCTTATTTTGCCTTTTCTTCTGTGACCTTGGGCAGAGTCCTTGGCAGTTTTCCTTTGCTTCCCATTCTTTATAAAATACAAGATAACTGGCTCACAAAAGAAGTGTCATTGTGTATCAGGGAGAAGGGTCAGTTGAACTTGCAGGCGCAGAAGGCTAGGGAGGGGGCCTGGAAGTTATTTCCTAAGAATCTTTGGAAATCTCCTTTTTAAAAAGGTGCTAGTTGAAATAAAATCTTGAATTTGCTCTCTCGCCACCTGGTGGGCAAAAATTAGAGACTTGAAAACTAACTTGGTAAAGGAGCAAGAATAACTCGTGCTATTGGAGAAGACCATATTTCGTTGTTTCATATATCACAGCCATATTTCTGATCCTGGTCAAGTATTTTGTTTTGGATTTTGAGCATGAGGTGAGCTCTACTTACTGGTAGAGAAAGAGAAGAGTCTAGTTATTAGAAAGAATATGTTGAGGTGTTAGAAAGACAAACCAAGAAAGCTGTGTCTTTTTTTTTTTTTTTCCCTGGATAAACTCAGCATACATATTAGAAGTGGTGGAAGAATTTAAAGAGCTGTTTTGTACTTAACATCAGACAAGAGTTCCTTTGAAATATTCACCTAGAATTTAACCTTGGGCCAGAATACTAAAAGTGCCTCATATGGACAACATTTATGCTAAAATATTTGTTATTTTAAAATTTTTCTGTCACCAGCCAGTTGATCTCTAGTGCCCCAAAGTACTGTGGCATATGGTACCAAGAAACACTGCTTTTTGCTGTCTAGTACGTTGACATTTTTCCCAAGTAATGTGGGCTGTGTCTTCTCTATCTTTATTTTTTCCCTTTAATCCCTGCACTCTCCATATCCAGTTCCTCTAATGTAGGTATAGGTAGTAAGCGTCATAAACTCAGATGCCTCCAGGAATGGGGAAGATAAGTAGAGGAGGGAGGTGGGTGAAGCCACCACCTCACCTCTCAAGGAGCAGCTGACACGCAGCTTCAGCCGATTGTGGCCATATGGGAATGTGAGCCTGTTGCTGCCAAATCTTTTTTTTTTTTTTTTTTAAGAGAAGCTCAAAATTTGCATGTTTTAAATGTCATTTTTAAAAATCTTTTTAAAATGTTGTCTCACACATTAAAACCCTGTATGGTCCAGGTAAAAACACCTCTATGAGTTGGATTTGAGTTTCGAGCCCCCAGTTTTGACTTCTCCTAAACCTTATACAGGCAGTCTCTTGATTAAGTGCCTAGAATTAGTGCATCTTAGTAGCTTAAGTTACTAATAATATACCATCACTAAAGAAAACAATAAATTAAAATATTTCCAACTCATTGGTCAAAGGAGTTTGACAAATTCCCTTAAATCATTTCCCTTAAATCATAGTTCAAATTAGCATTTGATTTAGTATTAGTATGTATACCAAAAAAAAACTATTACTCTTGCTTTTTTTGGCAGCTGTCTGACTCCCTGCCTCAGTTGACACTTCTCCAGAGATTTATTTAGAAGTTAACCATCCTTCTTCCTCGTTTTGACATTGCAGTTTACTCTTCTTAAAGAAAAGAGATTTTGAAGGATAGGAAAAAGAGACTCCCTTGCAATGTAATTTTTGAGTTTCTGACTTTCCCATACCCACTTCAAAGTTTAGATTTTTTTTTTTTAATTTATTTTTAGAGAGAGAGGAAGGGGAGGGAGAAAGGGAGAGAAACATCAATTGCTTGCCTCTTGCACATCCCCAGCTGGGGACCTGGCCCACAACCCAGGCATGTACCCTGACTGGGAATCGAACCAGCAGTTCAGTTTGCAGGCCAGCACTCAATCCACTGAGCCACACCAGCCAGGGCCAAAGTTTAGATTTTTTAATGGGAAAATTCAAAGCAAAATATTTCACTTAAGAAACTAACCTTGCCTATAGTATTTTTTGTTTGTTTGTTTAAGGCTGGCTCTTTTTTTGTATAAGTCTAGAAATCTGCGGTTGTAATTAAGAATGTTGTCGTAGCCCTAATAGACATTAAGGAATAATGCACTGATGTATTCCTAGCTGAAATGTTATAGCAGTTTTCAGTACTCAGAGCTTAAAATGTGGGTTCATGCATCATAGGAGATAGAAAAGAAAAAGCAAGCATGCTGTAGTTGTAGGTCCTCTTCAATTACAACATGCTTGTGGTTGGGTATTTATAGAGGAATTTATCAGTTCTAATATCTAGTAGGAAGAAAACTAAAGCTATAGGCTTGGAGGACAAATAGACTGGTGTTTGAACTTCAGATCTGCTTCTTCGTAGCTGTAGCAATTTATTTTCTAGGCTCTGTTTTCTCATTTACAAACTGTTGGCAACATCACGGGGTTGTTGGGAAGATTAAATGAGTTAATGTGAGCAAAGTCTTTTCATGGCGCCAGGCACATAGAAGGTGCTCAGTAAACACCCATGTCCTGTTCCCGTTTAGTGACACAGTGGGCTCACGTAGCCTCCTTTCAGT